GGTGTGGAACCTTAATATTTTTCCCTTCTCTAAAACATTTACGTGTCAAATAAAGTGAGTTAGTAAGTTAAAAAGATACAAACAAAAAAGCATCCTTCAAATAGCCAATTCTGAACCTCTTTGTGAAGTCATTGTTGGAACAAAGGCTTAATTCTATAAGTAGTTAAAATAGTAATTAAAAAATAAGAGTTTTTAAAACATAATTTCTAAAAATGAATTCATACAATAAGCTTCCAAAATTTTCTTGCCAACTGTGATTCTTGTTAAAGACAGAATTTTCTCCTGAGTCACATATTTGTAATGAGGAGCTTTTTTTTAAAAAAAATGCATAATTATATTTTGAAGACTGTGATTTGCATCTCATAACACGTCATTTGCTGCTTATTACTTTCCCAAAATAAAGTCCCACAGTGGCTCTGAAAGAGATGGTGCCTGCAAATATTGTTCAAATGTTCCTCCTCAAGGCCAGTGAGGAGAACTGCACCCTTCCATCTGTACTAGGACCGCTTCCCAGGGAAAATTCTGTATTCAGAACCCCGGGAAATTACTGCCATACTAACAGACTCCTAAAGAATATCACCGTTTCTTTTTGTAAATTTTTTCAGGAGTTCTAAAAATTCTTGTGCCATCTCTACTAACAACACTGCTCAGCACTCAACGTTTTCCACTGCCACAGCTCACAACTTTCCTGTGGAGGTGAGAAGTATTGTTATCTCTGTTTGGCACGGGAAGAATAACAATGACAACAAGTAGATCCCATTTCCCCAAATGTTAAGTAAAGACTAATTTACTCAAGGCACAGATAGATCTTCCCTACTTTACTAAGTGAAATGTGAAGACTAAATAATTTTCAGATCCCAGACTGAGTCACTGGTGGATTTGGGAACAAAATTCAGTCCTCCTGACTCCCTGCAATAAACCATGGTTTTCCATGTTATGAGTTAACAATCATTAACTAAATGACAAAGGTTTTGCTATTCTTGGTGTAGTGCCCTTCTTTGCATTTCAGAGGAATTACTGGGCTCTTAAATTGGCTGTCAAATTTGCTGACTTGATACCTGGCTGGCTTTCAAAATATATATTAAAAGTCTTGCCTTTCCTGGCTATTTCTTCAATAAAACTTTTTTTTTTTAATAGAATAAATTTTGCAATCTCACTTTTAAAATTAAAGTCAACAGAAAAAAATTACAAATCTTATCAGTCACACCGTACCCACTACTAAGAAAATACATGCAAAGGCAGCAGGACCCAGCAGGAAGGGCACTGAACTAAGAAACTGATGCCAAAAATTCCCATTTCCTTAAAGAATGTCATGCTTTCAGCTTCTGGGAGCATTTTACTTCTAGGTCTTCCAGAACTCTGTAATCTCAGTTTCTCTCTCAGTTGGTTTCAAAATGTGTACATAATTATTACTTTGTGTCCTTATCTCCATAAGGATTTTTAACGTCAATAAATTAAACTAATTACAGCTAGATTCCAAGGTCCTATCCATATGGAGGGCTCTACAAGTGCACAGATTCTAAGCTCTAATTATCCTTTAAGTATTGCACACTGAATCACATGCCTTGATCCACCTCATGTAACAGAATTAACTTCCAGGCAGACTCTGGGTTAGAGCAGCAATGACAAGATAATTGGCCTTTAAGTTAAATACACCCCATAGACTGCAGTTGTAGCTCATACTAGAAAGGCTGGATCACTTCTTATAATCAGCTGCTTATACAGTTTATTTTTTATCTTGGTCTTTATGCTTTTATTTCGTTCCTTTATAGGTTTTTCACCTCCATAGGTGGCAGTGTGGACTCCCATGTCAGACTATACCAGAGGTGTGATTGTGGCAACAGTAACTATGCCGCCAACTTTCTTTTGTCCTGTTTAATCGACTGGTCATTTAGGGACCTACAAAAACCAGCTTGGCCAGAGGAACAGAGAAACTCGACAAACAAATATCTTCTATTCAAATATCAGATTCACAAAAGCTTTTTTTTTATGCCTAATTACGTGTAAAAAATCTGGAAGAAGCCTTCCAATTGGAATATCTTTACATATCACAGACTTCTGTTATTAAACTGCACTCGTTGCTAAGGAAGAAGAGAGGAGATCAAAGGACTTCTAACAACTAGAAACCCAAAGGTGAGGGAGTTTCAATTTCTTTCTCATTCTTTAAAGATTTATCTCTGAACTACAACAGTTGTTCATAGTTCCATGAAAAGAAAGAAACTACGTGAGCCTGCCTTGCTACTTCCTATTTACCTTCCCACAACACCTCAATTCACTCTTGGATTAGCAGCATGATGGTGCAGTCAAGCACCCTGTTTGCAAACCCATATGCAATCCAAGTCCTGAGGACTAAAAAGGAAGAGCTGGTGGAAGGCATAAGGGACCCAGACCAGCTCCTGCACTCACAGACAATGGCATTTTTACTCCAGAAAAAAAGATGGTCATGAGTTTCTACAGGACACGAACAGAAAAGAACTCTCAGATTTTGGACATACTCATTTCTCAAGGTGAACGAGCCTGCAAGGTCTTTTTTTACCCCTGTTTAAAGCAAGTGGAGCCAAGACTTTATAGCAAGATACGAAAATACGTTGGTGAAGTAAAGGAAAGCATTAGAGATGCCAGAAGACAATTGGTTGGGTATTTATTTGAAAAAGATAAGGTTTGGCTTGAAAATAGCAGTGAACAGCACCAGGGGAAAAAAGACAGTCCTGGAAGAATAAAGCATAAATGGGCTACTAAGAAGAAAGGAAAAGAAACTCAACTTCCAAGGACAGCAAAGCCTAGAAAAGATGGTGCTGCTGCTGACGTCTTTACTGGAGTTGCCAAAGGCTCTGAGTTAGAGAAAACACTCAAAGATAATGATATCACTGCGCTAAACTCTACCAGTGAAACACTTCTGCATGTTGCAGCTGCTCATGGACATCCACTGACTGTGGAATATTTGATCAGCAAAGGTGCAAAGACAGGCGTGAAGGACAGAAAAGGGAGAACTGCCCTGCACAGGGCTGCTGAGAGAGGCCATGGTGATGCAGTCCAAGTGCTTCTCCAGGGTGGTGCTTCTATGCACAGTTTGGGCATGGAGGGCAAGACATCCCTTCATTTGGGTGCAGAGAATAACCACAGTCACATACTGAAGATGCTCCTGAAAGAAGAGGCAAGAAGGTGCAGGAACCAGCACAGCTTTTTGCACATGGCAGCTCTTAAAGATGAGAGCAGTCTGACCAAAATGCTTTTAGAGGCTGGTGCCCTCCCTCAATGGGAAGGATGAGAGAGGACAGACTGCTCTCAGTTACAGGACAGACTGCTCTCAGTTACAGTTTCTCAGAGGTCTGAGCATACTTGGAACTCAAAAAAAAAAAAAAGCCCCAGTCTTAAACATACTGTAGATGACAGCCTCTAGTATAAATCAAGACTTATGAAAAAAGAAAAGATAGGAGGTAACTTTTCATATATTTGTGAATATCAGCCTGTTTGGACAGCTTAGTTAAGCATTGTTTAAGCAAGGTATTCCTAAGACTATAACAATTATTAACTATTTTTCTTTCTATCTTTCATGCTACCATTTGTCTAGATTTTGCTTTTTCAAGTAGAGATAACAAAAACCATCACATTTGCCCTTTATTAATTTCACTTACAAACTCACTCCAGCACAAAGAGGAAATGTTCGGAATAAACAGGTTGCAACAGACTTTATTGATTCAAAATATTTGTATTGAGATGACAATACAAATATAAACAGAAACACTTTTTTGAGTGGACGGTAATGATAATCAACTCTTCCCTTCGGTATATGATTAAAAGCCCAGCTACCACAAACACCAAAATATTTCTTGTGAAACGAAACACAGATTTAAGAATGCATGGGAACAAAACTGTGATTTTTTGGCATCCATAATACAACACTTTAACTTGACCCACACGACACCCTGTGCTGTCATCTCTAGATGAAGGAACAGACATGACCACATGCTTGAAGGACAAAGGGATGTATGGCCTGTGCAGGCCTCCAGAATCACAGAATTTATGTAGGGTGGAAAAGACCTCCAAGATCATCGAGTCCAACCTTTGATTACCATGTCAACCAGACCAGAGCTCTGAATGCCACATCCAGTCGTTCCTTGAACACCTCCAGGGGCAGGGACTCCACCACCTCCCTGGGCAGCCTGTTCCAATGCCTGACCACCTCCTCCGTGAAGAATTTTCCCCTAATATACAATCTAAACCTTCCCTGGCACAACTTAAGGCAATTTCCTCTCATCCTGTCCCTTGTTCCCTAGGAGCAGAGCCTCATCCCCCAGGTGGCTTCACCCTCCTGTCAGGGAGTTGGAGAGAGCGAGAAGGTCCCCCCTGAGCCTCCTTTTCTCCAGGCTGAGCCCCCCCAGATGCTCCCGATGCTCCAGACCCTTCCCCAGCTCTGGACTCGCTCCAGCCCCTCCACGTCCTTCTCACAGTGAGGCGCCCAGGCCCGCACCCAGCACTCGGGGTGCCCCTCACCAGGGTGGGCTCCGGTTCCAGGCTCCCGCTGTCGCATCCCGCGCTGCCCCTCAGCCCCTGCCTGACCGTCACCCCTTCACTCACAGCCCGGACGTGACCCTTAGAGCCCGGCCACGCTCCGTCAGTTCCAGGCCATGTCCCCTCACAGCCCGGCCATGTCCCTCAGCTGGGCCATGTCCCCTCACACGCCGGCCATGTCCCCTGAGCCCAGCTCTGCCCCCTCACACGCCGGCCATGTCCCCTCAGCCCAGCCATGTCCCCTCAGCCCAGCCATGTCCCCTCAGCCCAGCCATGTCCCCTCACACGCCGGCCATGTCCCCTGAGCCCAGCTCTGTCCCCTCACAGCCCGGCCATGTCCCTCAGCTGGGCCATGTCCCCTCAGCGCATCCATGCCCCCTTACAGCCCGGCCCTGTCCCTCAGCTTCCCGCCCGCTCCAGCCGCCCCGCGCTCCGCCTACCCCAGCGCCATGTCCGGCTCCGCCCGGCCGCTCCTCATCGCTCCGTGCCCGCCCATCGCCGCCGTGGGGCCGCCCCTTCCCGCGATAGCGCCGTCCCGGTGTCATGGCGGCGGCGGAGGAGCCCGAGGTGGACATCGAGGGGGACCCGGGGGCCCCGCCGGGGTGAGTGAGGGTCCCGCGGGGCTCCGGGAGCGCGGCCCGTCCCCCTGCACCGGGCGGGGGTCGCGGGGGGCGGCCGCTCCTGAGGGGGCGGCCCTGGCCGGGCGCTTCCCGCCGCTCCGAGGAGAGACCTTGGAGTGTCATGGAGTGCCTGTGGAGAGGGGGCAGCGCCGGTGTGGAGCATCGTCAGGCAGGGCAGAGGGAACGGGGCTGTGGGAGCGCTGGTGTGAGGAGAACACGGAACTGCTGCCAAGGGATCCCCCAGAGCTCGGAACAGCGCCCGGAGGCTGCTGGGAGAATCCTTAAAAATACACATGGAGAAGGTGCTGGGTTGTGTAACTGTGTTCGCGAACTGGCGGAGGCAGAGAGGGTCAGAGAGCTGAACGCCGGGAGGGAGGTGCAAAAACAGTCATAGGATCATAGAATGTAAAGGGGTTGGAATGGACCTTAAAGATCATCCAGTTCTACTCCTGCCGTGGGCAGGGACACTTCCCACTAGACCAGGTTGCTCAAGGCTTTATCCAAGCTAGCTTTGAACACTGCCCAGGATGGAGCATCCAAACTTTTTTTGGGCAAGCTGTGCCAGTGTCACCAACCTCACAGGAAAATATTTCTTCGTGATATCTAACGTAAATTTCCCCTCTTTCAGTGTGTACCCATTACTCTCTGTCCTGTCACTACAGTTCCTGATGGAGAATCCCTCTCCAGCTTCCCTGTAGGCCCCTTCAGGTACTGTGAGACTGCTGTGAGGTGTCCACACAACCTTCTTTTCTCCAGGTCAAACAGCCCCAAGTTTCCCAGCCTGTCTCCATAGGGGAGGTGCTCCAGTCTTCTCACCAACTTCACGGCCTCCTCCGGATTTGCTCCAACAGTTCCATGTCCTCCTTATGTTGGGGACCCCAGAGCTGGATGCAGCACTCCAGGTGGGATCACAAGAGCAGAGCAGAGGGGCAGAATCACCTTCAGCCTGCTGGCTGTGGTCCTTTGGATGCAGCCCAGGGTTTAGTTGGCTTTCTGGGCTTCAGCAAATTCATGGATAAGGGATGGTGAAGTAGGCAGAGGCTGTCCTGCAGGAGCACCTGCAGGTGCTGGAAGAGAACAAGAGGTTTGTAGCAGAGACTTGCTGTCCTAGAGCAGCACCTGCCACTGCTGCACACAGGCTGCTGGGCAAAGGGGATGTTAATCCCACCCTGTCCTTGGTGTGCTCCAAAAGAAGCAGGAGTTGTGTAGGCTTCTGACTGTACATGGAGATTTATTCTTTATCCTATAAAGAGATGTTTGAGATGCTGGCACAAAGCATTTCAGAATAGTAAATGAGTTTAAATTAGTAGCACTGCAGGGGATATAGGGCTAATTAGTCATTAGAACTGTCTGAATGCTCTGGAAGTAAAGATTTTTTTAAACAACTAATTACTTGCGTTACTAAGCAGATTTTATGCTGCATGAAAATGAAAAGAAGTTGATCAATGATGTTAATCAGTGGCAGATCTCTAATAAGTAGTTATTTACAGAAAAGATCAAGCATAAACTGAATTAATTCTGTAAGAGTACTAGATTAGATAGTGGGAAGAAATCCTTCCCTGTGAGGGTGTTGAGGCCCTGGCACAGGTTGCCCGGAGAAGCTGTGGCTGTCCCATCCCTGGAAATGTCCAAGGCCAGGTTGGATGGGGCTTGCAGCAACCTGGTCTGGTGGAAGGTGTCCCTGCCAATGAGATAATCATTAAGGTCCCTTCCAACCCAAACCATTCCATGATACTAACAGCCCTGTACAATTAGCCCTTGTGTAAGTATGAGCTTTCCTTGGCAGGAAAACAAGTTTGTCTTTACAAGAAGGTATTTTTACCATATTGGGGGAAACATGTAGAAATGTTAAGTGGAGATAATAGAACTCAATGACACTTTTAATGTTAAACTACAGTTGTCTTGCACAATGGAATCTCTTTCAGAGATCATGAAAACCCAGCATCAAGCCTGCTGCAGGATCACTACCTCGATTCATCTTGGAGAACTGGCAACAGTCTTGTAAGTATTTTTTAAATGAGTGGTGCTTTTAGCAAGGCTATCACAGCTGCTGTGTGCTCTTCCCTCCGTGTACGTGCTCTTTAGGTTTTTAACCAGGGCTTTTTCCTTACTTTTAGAAAGTGTTATATATTTATTCTGGGGGATTCAGATATTAAAACACAGTTGTGTTGTTTGCAGCCCTGGACATTGGACAGCAGCATTAGTGAAGAAAACAGGGCTGTCATTGAGAAGATGTTGCTGGAAGAAGAGTATCCTTTTGCTGATTTGGTTTCATGTTTTCCTGTAGAAAAACAGAAAACTTCCTATTTCCAAAGGAACTGCACTAATCTTTTCCTGTTAAGATGACTGAAGCCCTGCCACCTTGTAGGTAGATTGAAGAAATACTGCTGCAGAAACTGCAACTGGGTAATTCTGAACCAGTATAATTTATATGATTTTTAGAATTCTCACATGTACAAATATCCCTGATGCTTTAAAAAGTTACTTAGCAATATCTCAGGTATTATTTATCTAATAAATCACTTTCTGAAAAAATATGGCTCAACCGAAAGGAAGTGGAGAAAAGATCTGTGAAAAGGTAAGATGTGCTTGGGAAAAATTAGATGAGAAGAAATGAAAAGTTCTCCTAAAGTAGGGTTATTTGCTGAGATATGCAAGAGCATCACAATTGCTAATTTTTATTTTCACTCTGTTTTTTATTTGCAGCCCTCATAAGAAAACTGGAAAAGTCATGTACGTACATTTTAATGATTGAGTTGCATTTTTAAATGTGGTGTCTGATTTAAGTTCAGTTACGAGAAACTGTTTAAAAAAAAAAGAAGTTACAGCTCCTTAGTTCCTTTTGTTTGGCTGTGCAAAATTATATAAGAGAACTTTCAACAGGAAGAAATACTGTGTATAATAATAACCTCATGGTAAAATAGGGGAGTGGGGGGTATTTTTGTTGCACAGTGGTCCTTATGAAAAAAAATTGTTAATTCTAGTTGGCTTTTTTGCCTGCACTTTTCTGTTTGCTGCTTTGATTTATTTCTGTACCGTTAGTCACTGATGAATATTGAGTTGCCTTGAACCTTCCTTTGTGGTGGGGAAGCTGATTCTCAGTATTTTATTTATCATGTTTATAAACTCATGTTTAAAACAATACTTTGAGTTTTACCAAAGAAGGGGAGTAGTTCCCCTGTCAGAAGGTACCTTGAGTTACTGGGGTTGGAGGATTAAATGTTTTTAGGAAAGCACCAGCTTTTGCTTCCTGCTTTCCCAGGGTCCGGTCACCTGCAAAACCACCTGGCTGCTCCCTGAAGTGGACATTGGAGGAAAAAGAGCTGTTTGAACAAGGACTGGTGAGTTTGTTTATAGATGTAATATTTTTAATTGAATTAATTTATTTATTCTAAATAAGAGAATAGTTAATATGAATAAGCGTGATATGGTTCTTCTAAGGCTTCTGCTTTTTTTTCTTCTAACATGTTAAAAGTAATTGCCATCTACCAAGAGTGTAATGATAACCCAAAATGGTTTTCTTTACCAGATTTTGTTCATGTGAGGCTGATTACAATTTGAGAGCACAAAATACCTCAAATACTCAGCATTATGAGTTGCACAGTCACAATACTGTTCTTAACTATTGGAAGTGTAGTGTGTTTTTAAGGCAAATAAAGTGAAATCCTTTAACTACTGTTGTAAGGTCTTCAGAGATTATATGTAATATAATGTAATAGGGTTTGCTTGCCAAGCACAGTAGGGATAGCAGGCAGCATAATTTACAGAGTGCCTGAAGAGGGTGAAGAAGATGCTCTAGTTAAGAAGAATAACAATAGTTCTTACTGTTGGATGCCATTTTCTTTCTGGTAGAACATGAATAGTGAGGTTCTTTACCGTGGGTTTGCTGTACTGTTTGTGCATTTGAGTGAACAATTGAGGTTTTAAACTCTCTTGGCACGTGAATTGCAATGTCTGGAATGTCAGAGTTTGGGTGACTTCAGTGTGCTTTGTTGTGTCAGGTGAAATTTGGCCGCCGGTGGACAAAAATCGCCAAGTTGATCGGGAGTCGAACTGTCCTACAAGTCAAGAGCTACGCTCGGCAGTACTTTAGGAACAAGGTAAATGGAGGATCTCTGGAGCTGGCAAAAAGGCTGTTTGCCAAGTGTGGTGTTGCATATACAGCTTGCTTTTAATCTGTCCTTTCAGGGCACTTGCTGGCAAAGCACATACTCTGTTTATTCCCATATTCAGAAAAGTGGAATATGCTTATTTGCAGATTTAAAATAATTCAGACCTGATTTCAAATTCCTAGAATAACCTGTATTGTTATTGCTAGTATAACTAGACAAAAAATGTAGTGTAATTGTGGCCTCTTACACTGTTTGTCATTAGTGTGAAAATTATTTTCCACTACACAGCTGTCCTTGCTGTGTGTTGTAGTTTTAGCCTTAACCTCACTTGAGATTTTGGGGACATTTAGGAAGAGATAACTATTCTCTAGGATTTTGTGACTGGGAATACATGTTAATTTACACTTGGGCTAAAGTATACCTTTAATGCTGTGCCAAAGTCAGTTGCAGTGGATTAAACTATATTAAAAGGGTAAGATAAGGAAGAAACGCTTCAAAATATCTGCTGTTCAAATAAAATAGTTCTGATTATTTGGGAGGCAGATGGGATTGTTTTGTTTTTCCCTTCTTAAAGTATCTGATATTTTCCTAAGGCAAAAAATGGTGATTCTGAAAAAGAAGAGCAAAGTCAGCGTGGGAGCAGTGTTCCCATGGAAGATGGGATAAGGGCGGAAACTGGAAATTTGAGAGGCCGTGCAGACCCTAATCTGAATGCAGTGAAAATTGAAAAGCTGTCAGATGATGAAGAAGTAGACATAACTGATGACATGGATGAGCTACTCTCTCCTACCTTCCAGCAAGAAACTGGAAAATCTGAATTATCTGTTATTCCAAAAAGTCCAGTTGAAGAAACAAAAGGAATGGAACACGGTTTGTCATCTGCTGGACACAGTTCTGCAATTGCTTTGCCTAAAGAAGATCCTCAGCAGACCAGGCAGGATACAGTGGATGCCTTGGTATTTCCTGCTGTGGCAGCAACGTGTTCCCAGCACCTGAATGGTGATAAATCTTTGAGTTTAGATTTCCAGCAGTACAATAATTATATTGAGAGAGCTGAACAAGGAGGAGCAGTAACATCTCTTGGTACTGGACAAGCGACTGCTCAGGAGCCCAGTGAGGAGCAAAGAAACCCAGCTGACAATGGATTGCTTTTTCCTTCCCCCTGCCAAGCGGATGAAGATCATCAAGAAGAAGCAGAGGAGCTGAAGCCCCCTGATCAAGAAGTGGAGGTTGACAGGAGCATCATTCTGGAGGAGGAAAAGCAGGCTATTCCCGAGTTCTTTGAAGGGCGCCAGGCCAAAACACCAGAGCGTTACTTGAAAATCAGGAATTATATTTTGGATCAATGGTAAGATGCATTGATTTCTCTTACTGGAATAAGTGATTAAGGTGTCCTGGTTTGTTGTAGTTAAAACACTACTTGGTACTAGCAGCTTCTGAAAAGAGTAAAATTATTGTATGGTAGCTTGCCAGTGAACAGCATTCATTATTAATGCTTCTTCTGCATCTTCCCATTTTTTTCCTGGCATTCTGGAAGCTAAGCAATGAACATACTTTGAAGCATTATGAAAATTAGTGTCCTGTATCAGAACAAGCTGCATGCATTTGGGTTATTTTCTTCCAACTTTTGCCATCCTATATGTAAGAAGGGTTTTAATACGTGGTTCCTCAAAATAAATAACTGGTGACATTAACTCTGTGATGAGGTCTGCAGCATTGGGGCACTGCCTTTACAGAAGGGCAGCAAGAAGTCTGTGCTGGAACAAATGATGCTGAGCAAAAGAATGCCTCTAAGTAAGTATCAATTTGGTGTAGTGCTTGCACACTTGAATATTTTTTATTCCATCTCTAAAGAGCTGCTGTAAGGAACCCCAGGGATTTGTGGCAGCAGGCTCAAGATACAGTTTGTCTTGTTGCCATTTTGGTTTGTGTGGTCACTCTGTTGCTTAGCTTGCTTTTAAGTAGAAATAATTACTGAGTTTAACTCAGACTCCACTCAGTTGTCTTGTGTACTGTCAGCTTGTTGTGGGTGAAAGAAAGACTAAAGTTCCATGTTCAGAGAAGTGTTGAACTGAAAAGGTTCAGTGTCAGTTTAAAAGGAAGCAATAAGTGCATAGAGAGTGAAAACAGGACCTCAGTTAAAGTCACACAATCCCTTCCTCCTCCCATGATTTGTTCTGCTGTCTGACAACGTGCTGGATTTGATTTTAGGGAGAGATGTAAACCCAAGTACCTGAACAAGACCTCGGTGCGTCCGGGCCTGAAGAACTGCGGTGACGTCAACTGCATTGGCCGGATCCACACGTACCTGGAACTCATCGGGGCCATTAACTTCGGCTGTGGTAGGGATATTTCTGTGGGAACCAATAAATACCCTCTTTTGGGGTAATGCTGAAGGACTGCCTAACGTTAGGGTGCACTGCTCACCCAGGGGATACACAACTATCCTTGCTAGGAAGGACTTTCTGAGCAGATTGTCTCTCACAACCTTGGAAAATCTGGAGGAGTTTGTAACCTGCTTACAGGATTATGGATTTTTTGTTTTACACAAAACCTTTTTATTTTTTCTTTATTTTTTTTTGCCTTCCCTCATGTTTAACCATACATGAGCTGGTGGACTGGTTGTTTTGTTTTGTGCTTTTCTGTGTGTCTAGGGTTGGATTATTTTTTTTTTCCTGATAACCTACTGTATCTGAAATTCTGCCCTCCTTCCTTATAAGACAAAATTCAAGTTATTGTTACTTTTCCCACACTGAATGATAACTGTTTCCTGAATAAACATCAATGTCTTCATCCTCAGGGCTAGTTTTTAAACGATTCAAATGTTAAAATCACGCGATATTTAAAGTGTATATACACCTGGAACTTGGTGTTGTTTTAGAGTCTCTGGATGGATTTTGGTCCAAAGCTGAATGACAGTCACCTGAGAGAGGAGCAATGTCTTGCAAATACCTTTTGTCTGAAGTAAAGTTATTTAAAATAACATAATTATAGCCAACAAGAGATGTCTCTTTTTTTTTGTTGCCTTTTCCACGATGGCATTTGCCGTTCCCACTCACCTCTGTCCTCCCTGTCTGTGTAGCAGTGCTGAGTGTCTCCCACTCACCTCTGTCCTCCTGTCTGTGTAGCAGTGCTGAGTGTCTCCGTGCTTTGCTGACGTGCAGTGTCTCCCTTGTGTCTCCTGCAGAGCAGGCCGTGTACAACCGGCCCCAGGCAGCCGACAGGACGCGCTCCCGGGAAGGCAAGGACACGGTGGAAGCCTATCAGCTCGCACAGCGCCTGCAGTCCATGGTACGGCCTGGGGGGGAGCCGGAGGGCAGCACGAATGGGGAGAGTCTGTCCAGCTTTCATAGTGAAGTGTTTTGCAGTGGGTGATTAAGTTGCTTGCATTTTAACTGTTAAATAGAGTAGGATATGGCTTACTGAGAGCCTTATGCACACAATTAAGTGCAGTAGTAACTACATGAATTACCAAGGCTTCCCAGAGTAAATTTTCGTACTCACTTGTAATACAGAGTTTTTAAGTACTTCACAGGAAAATACATCAGCTGATGAGAGGAAACACAAAATCAATCCCACTAAAAATATAATAAATTGAAATATAAAGAGCTGTAGCATCCACTGGATGTAAACATCCTGGTTTTATAGTTTTGTGCATTGTCTGAGCTAGAATGCAGAGCTGGATAACAGTGCCCTGTTGCTGTCAGGGGTGCTGAGCTTCCTCGGAACACCAACAGGCTTTACTGCCTTGAAATGCAAAAACTCCACTGATGATATTTCATGACAGTCTGCAGAACACCAGGGTGTTGGTAACATCCCTGTGGCAGTACCCTTTTGGACACTGTCTTTGGGGCTGCCCAGCTGAAGTAAATGCAGTTTTTGCAGGGTGAGAGCCCTGACTCTTGGTGATTTCTTGCCACAGCGCACAAGAAGGCGGCGAGTGCGAGACCCCTGGGGAAACTGGTGTGATGCCAAGGATTTGGAAGGACAGACATTCGAGGTGACCCTTCTGTGTTTTTAACTTTCCTTAGTTCTTGCTGATTGCTGGCAGATGGTGTTGCATCAAACAGACAAGGGAACAGTTGTGTCATAGGGACTTAACCTCTTGTGGAAGCAGTAATTTGAAAGTAATGCAGCAGCTGGTACATCTTTGTGCTGCTGATAATTAAAGTTGGTGTTGCACAGGGGTTTTATGCCCCTAAAGCTCTTTGCCTTATCTTGTAGGAGATTTCATGATCCGTTGCTTTTGAGTTAACTGCCTTAAAGCAAATGGTAAGGGATGGGAGAATACCATTTAAATGTTATTTTTTCAGTCCTATATGGTTTCTTTGTGCTCATTATGCAGGTGATAATGAGTTCCTAATATTAATTCTGCTACTAGCAATATCCCCAGAAATTCTGTGGTTTATGAAGTGCTTTAAAAATTCATACAAGTTTAAATGTTTTATGGGAGAACTGGAAAGAAAATACTTGTCCATTCTTACAATTTCAGATTATATGAAAAGTGAAGAACATCTATTTTTCTTGTATAGAAAACCTTCTTAATTTGCAACCTTTAGTAATTACCTGTAACAATTACTTCCATAATACTATTTTTGATTAACTGAGATTAATAATTTGAACACTTCTTGCAAAATATGTATTTGGATGGAAAAAAAGGTTGAAAACACTCATCCCTAAAGAGGAGTTGTGATAAGTTTTGAGCATGGTTTGTACTGACAGATTATCACACTTGGATTTACACCTGGTTTGTGATGTGGGCTGTGAATTTTACTGAATTTGATTGATTTCGTATGAGAATTCTCTCATCAGGCATCTTGTGGGCTTGGTCTCTGGTTGTCACTCCTTCCACACTGCCTGGGTCATGGCTATTGCCTCTGCCATCAGTAGTTCTGTAACACACAAATTATATCAAGAGGACAATGATATCAATAATTGATTTTGGGCTGGTTTTGCAATCACTGCTGAAGCAGCACTTCAGACATTAAGACATTTCATTTTTTGTTGAACCCTCTTAGCATCTCTCAGCTGAAGAATTAGCAAGAAGGAGAGAGGAAGAAAAACTGAAACCTGCAAAATCTTCCAAAGGTTCGAGACAACCCAAAAGGTATTACAGGATGTGCATCGTGTTCAAACACGGATCTGCCAGAGGTTGAACAAATGTCTTGTGTCAGGCTGGAAAGGTGCAAAGCATTAGCGCGTGTCACGGGCTGAAATAGCCTGGATGCATTTCACATGTTTCCTGTTGCAATTCACGAGTGTGGGAGTGATGTTTCTGTATTTGGTGGAAGTCATCCTAGTGTGGGATGAGAAAATCCAGTGAAGAACACAAGGTTATTCCTCCTCAGCTGAGGTGACAGTGGGAAAGTTGAAAAGTTTCCTGACTGTCCTACATCTTTAGAGAAATTTTCTTTCATTTTATAGTTCCTTTGATCCCTTTCAGCTGATACCCTGCTGTCTGTTCACGGAGGAGAAGCAGGTATGTACCTCTGAGGGAATTACCAACAAGGCTTCATTACTTGGGTTACTTTTCTTATACTCATTATTGTCTTTATCATTTCAGGAGCCTTTTAAGGTGAAAGTGTCTTCTGAAGCACTTCTAGTAATGGATTTGGTGAGGATTAAGTTTTGTCTTTCAAAAAGCTATGATCTCTGTGTTGTGGGGGTTTTTTTTAAATGAAGTTTTCTTCTCAGGAAGACTGAGAAATACAGTAATGTTTTCGTTCACCTAGAAGTGAGAACCTAGTATTAAATAAAGCCCCTAAAGATGAATACTTTTTATATTCTGCTTACTGTACAACTATTTACCTTCTAGAAAAATGAATTAGAGTTTTACTGCTTTACTGCTTCCTACTCTCTGTCACACTTTAAATCTAATTTGCATAAAGCTACTTTCTGACAGTCTGTCCTTCTGAGATCTATGGCTTCATTTTCTACCAGTCTGGCAATTGATTTTGTGTTTACAAAGCAAAATGTGGGGATTTTTTTAGGAACGACAGGTTGTACCAAAACAGTGCAGTTGTTCAGCAGTGCCCAGGCTGCATCTGTGGACGTGTTATACCCTTGCACTACATCCCTGGTGTGTTTATAATAAGCAAATTTAATCTTTTCTGTTTGCTATAAACGGAAACAATGGGGTTTTGAGAGGTTTTAGTGGTTTTGAGTTTTCCTTCTAAATGTCATTGAGAAGTGACTGACTTGAGTGCAGGGCAAAACAAAGAGAAATTACACAACTTAGACTAATATATTTGTTTAATCTCATTTCTTTCATACCTATTTGATCTTCCAGCACTCTCATGTGTCTCTGGCAGAAGTGATAGGGCTGCTGGGTGGAAGGTACTCTGAAGCTGATAAAATTGTGGAAGTAAGTGTTTGTCTTTTTACATTTTCTCTAAAATATTAAAACTGATATGATAATAGATATAATTTGAATAAATGTAACTGTTATTTCTGAAGGGCAACTAATTAAATATATGAAATCTAAGTTAATTACTGCACTCTTGAAATGTTAGAGTTATGTTCAATTGTGAAGGAGAAGGATCTGGTAAATTATGAGGAAGATCTGGTAAATCATTCTTAAAATTCTGTTGATGAAGTCTTATGTAACTGATGGAGGTTTGTTGCATTTATCCATCTGGAGGTTTCTTTACCAGGTGTGTGCAGCAGAGCCCTGCAACAGCCTCAGCACAGGCCTGCAGTGCGAGATGGATCCGGTGTCCCAGACACAGGCCTCGGAAACACTGGCTGCCAGAGGATTCCAGGTCATTGGATGGTACCATTCCCACCCAGCCTTCGATCCCAACCCCTCCATACGAGACATAGACACTCAAGCCAAATACCAGGTACAGCAAAAACATACAAAGAGCAAAAAAGACCCCCAGGCCCAAAGCCTCCGTGGTATTTACAGTGGTAGTACATATTATTGCTCTAATCTTAAATCAGCCATAAATGACATAAATGCTGGGTTTTAGATTTCAGCATCCTCTTCTGAAAAATGTTGGATTTTTATATGTGGATTTTTTTTGTGTGGTTTTTTGTTTTTTAGAGCTATTTCTCCCGGGGAGGTGCCATGTTCATCGGAATGATCATCAGCCCTTACAACCGAAATAATCCCCTGCCATATTCCCAGATCACCTGTCTGGTCATTAGTGATGAGATCAGTGCTGATGGTTCCTACCGTAAGTACATCTGTTTTATCCTTTTCCTTTTGGATACTGAGGGGAAAAATGTCTGCTTTTGAACTTGAGAAATAGGTATTTATGTATTTGTGTTGGTAAGGTGATGGTATCGTACAAACGGTATAATTTCTGTTGGTAACGTGCTGGACAAACCCAGGAATTTCACTGAAAGAGTGATCCTGAAAGTTGTCTCAGCTGCCATGACAAGAATATACAAATATAGATAGATAGAAGATTGTTCTTTTGCGTTAGTATTTTTCACAATCTGTGGAAGAAGTGAAAGGTTTGGGACAAGAGTCACTGTTATTTACATGCAGAATCCTTATGAACAGCTGAGAAACTGTTTCACATGTACAGCATGGGCTTTACTGCATTGCAACATTCTGAACAGATCCTCTGCCCCAGGAAACAGAGGTAAATAGCAAAGAATTGGCTGCTACAGTGGCCAAAAATCCTTAATTCTCGACTGCTGTGCCATTCTGAAGGTCAAAGGATCAAATTTGCTAGGAAAGCTGAAAGGGTGTGCTGGCAGGAACCCCAACCTAAGGGGTTTGATTAAAAATGTCATTGGCATTTAATGAAAACGGGATCCTTTCCTTTCTTGAACAGTTAAGAACACACCATATAAAATTCATGGTATTTCCAGTGATGATCAGATCTTCTGCTCTTTCCATGACATTCGTTTGAGGAAAATTCCCCTGATAACAGAAGATGGTTCTGGTAGCTGCCTGTTCTCTTTCCTCCTCCCTCCCTCTATTTATAAAGTTCTGATTTTTGCATCCCCACTCCAAGGTTTCCAGTTCTCTTGGCACAGCAGTAGCTGAGGCCATGTGAGCCAACAGTTCTCCCTGTTTTTTCCTGTGGAAGTAAGCAGAGGAGACCATCTGCCTGGAGACTCACTGCACAGTCCTGGGGGAAGTGGAGCAGTGGCCACATCTGTGCACTAATTCCTGTTTACCACACTGATTGTCCTGTGATTTTATCCTCATTTCCCACACATCTCGTCCTTGCCGAGGAATTAAATTACTGTCAAACTTCATTGCCCTTAGAAGACTTTTTTGTAGTCACTCACTTTTTCTGTCTGAGAGGATTCCATATTTCTGTTTAGCTCCTGAAATCAAAGTTTTACTAAATGGCATCTCCTCGGGCTCTTTGGAAATGACTTACTGAAATTCACACTCTCTTTCTTTCTCCCTGATTTTTGATAACTGAATCGTTAACCTGCAAATAATTTTCTTGCTAAATTCCTCTTCCCCCACCTGCAATAAACCAGAAGATTTTCTTCCTTTCAGAGCCAAATTTCTCTGAAATAGCAAACAATACTCATCAGCAGCCCCTTCAGGCATAAAAACCAAACCTTTTTTTATTCACTTAATAATCACCTAAATCTTAGAGAGATTTACCACTACAAAAGTGGTACTAAACACTCAATTCATTTTTCTCTTTCTCTGTTTTTTGTAGATTTCTGTGTCCTTCCTTACGGCCTGGGGAATTGGTGAGGGCAGGGAGGAAAACAGATTTGTTCCTACTCCCACCACAATTAAATTTGGAATCCAAAACACGTCATCCTTTTGCTTTAACCTCCTTAATGTTGTCAAGTAACAGAACCACAGGCTTCTGCAGTCAGTAATAAACAGGAACAGTTATGGGGAGGGAAGGGATTGCATCTAAAACTGAAAAGAGAAAGAAAACAGTGGAGTGCACTAGAAACACTGAATGATGATGTTCCATTGACTGCAGGCCTGCCCTACAAATTCGAAGTGCAGCAGATGTTGGAGGAGCCTCAGTGGGAATTAGTATTTGAAAAAACAAGGTGGATAATTGAAAAGTACAGATTTTGCCACAGGTATGTGTTTACTGCTGTTACAAACAGCCAGCTAGGAATTGTTGTATGTTTGTTATTGTTTCAGTCAAGACCTGTGGCTCCTTTCTCCAGCATTCCTGTTTGTTTTTCTTCCAACAGCAGCGTCCCCATGGATAAAATTTTTCATAGGGATTCTGACCTGACTTGTTTGCAGAAAGTAAGTTTTCTTTTTTAATGTCGAATGTTTTTTTTAAATGCGAATCTGTTTCATGTTAGCAGAGGTCACCTGAAGTTACATTTTTACAAATCAGAGATGGAAATTAATGGCAATAAATTACTTCTGTGGCACAACTTACTCACACAGTGAAAATAAGGATCCTCCTTTGAGAGAGGTGGGAATGTGTTATGTGCAGACACCAAGTTTGACCCTCAGTTCGGAGAAGATTTAATGGCAAATCACTTGTACACAATAATTGCCCACGTTGAATTCTTTTGTTTCCTCTCATGACTTTGCTTATAAACAGTGCAAATGTAAAATTGAGTTGGTAAAATGCTCTGGAATTCAGCTGTTGTCTAGCTGGTTTTAAAAAATTGGACTTAAATCACCTGTGTTTTCCTGTGTCACTGTTCCTTTTAAAGTTGTATTGCACACTTGAACAATTTTTTAGTGTTAATTCTAAATAAAAATCCCTTTGTAATAAAAAATTTTAAAAAATTCAGGAAAAATTTTAGTTTTAACAAAGTGTTCTTTTGTTTTGACCAGCTTTTGGAGTGCATGAGGAAGACTTTGGGCAAGGTAACAAACTGCCTCATTGCTGAAGAGTTCTTGACTCAGATAGAAAACTTATTCCTTTCCACATACAAGAGTGAGGAAAAGGGCAGTGCTGAAGGAAGTGAGAAGGAATGTTCACACCAATTGCCACTGTGATGGCTTTGGCAAACCAAAGTGATGGAATTTGGATGTTATTTTTTGATTTCTCTCCTTCCTCCTCATTATGTCAACTCTTTCAGAACTGTTACCCACCTCAGTAGTGACTGTTACAGAATCCAGTGTCATCTTATCTTGGTGGTTTAAAGATACTTTGGAAGCTCTTTTTGTGTGTGACCCCAGTGCCCAAGGGAGGCTCAGGCTAACGAGGGACGCAGCATTAATTGAGTGACTGCTCTGGGAGAAGGACACCTGTCAGGAATACTGTGCATCCATCTTCAAGGAGAGTTTGTCCTCTCTCAGGTCTTCCAGTTTGGGAATTTTCTCTTAATGTTGTCTCCAGGTACCCATCTAACTCAGGATGAATTAATGCTTTAGAGGTTGTAAGTTTGAATGAATTCACAGAAGAGAAACTTAACTGAAATGAGAACTTTGTAGCTCCAACTCTCCTAGTATCCAGCCTGAAGTTTTATTCAGTTGTAGCAAAATACATCACCTGATTTCTTTGCTTTTATTACTGTTTTTCCCCATTCATCCTGATGGTCAAGTAGCTTTTTGGCACATTCTTTGCCATCTTGTTTCTGTATTGGGGAGGAAAAGCTGGCAAGTTTTCATGACTTCTCAGTAGTGCCTGTGCTTGTTTCCAGTGGAAATGCAACCTTTCTGACCTTCCATTCTATGGGGAGGTTTTACCTTGTTCTCCAGATCCTTGCCGTTTGTCCATTTGGAATTGCCACTGTTTCCTGTGGAAACACGAGCTCTGGGTTGATGGCAAACTGGGGGCAAGGAGAAGAAAAGTATTTGTGTTTGTAAAGAAAAAAAAAATCCCAACTTTTATATTCGGAGTCTTCTCTGTAATGTACAGTTTAATAAGAAAACACTGGTTTATATCAGTTTCTCAGTTATGATTTCTTACAGGTGTATATTTAGATAAATCAGTCACAGATTGATCTTGATTGGAGAAGTTTCCTGATTGCAACTTGGAAATGTTTCGTGAGCTGTATCACTGTGACTCTTTATAGAAGAAATGTGTTTTAAATTTTGCTTTCTAAAGAAACTTGACCTGTCTACAGGTATTTACACAGGTTTATCTTGGGCAAAGTTTCTCAGAGAGGTCTAAAATGTATTTGAAAACCTGAAACAAGACATCGAGTTTATATCCAGAGGGGAGAGAACGGGCTCAAGTTTTATTTTAAGAAAAAATATGTGTGTGTATATATCTAGTTCTACATAACATAAATGGAATTTTAAGATTTTATATGTTTCAGCTTTTCATTTATATAGAATTTGAAAAGCTTTAAAATCATAGAGCTGCATCCCAAGGAGGGAAGCCCTTCACAGGAAGTTGATGTTACGGTTTTTACCATGAAATGTCAGACTCTTTCTGTCACTGAGGGGAAGGTGCAGAACCTGATCAAAGGAAAATGGGAGCTCTTGATACTCAGTGATTTTCCCACATTCAAGAGCCGTGGACTCAAAAGTACTGGTGGATGTTCTGTGCTCTCTTCTATGTTCAGATCTGCAGATGCAGAGCTTTGGGTGTGTGATTTACCACTGGTGCACCCATCTGTGTCCAGTGTGTTGGCTCAGTCTGCACTTACTCTAAACTGTCATCTTTGGGACTTCCTCACTCCCAATACTGCATGGATTTCTGTATTCCTAATTAAACTACACTCTGAGTGGGAAGGCATTCCTGACAGCTCAGTTGTGGGTGCTGTGCAGTGCATGGTGTTGGGTTCAGTTTTCCATAGGTTCTCTAGGAAATCCCCCAGGATCAATGTACACGGACAGCTGTAATTTGTGCTGGTTGATAGCAGGAGAATTTTGAGCCCCTGTGTAACATCAGTATGAAGTAGATCCTGTTCACTGTCCTCATAGGGTCTATTCCCAGCCCTTTAAGGATGGATCAGGATTACCCAAGCAGTGGTAACTGTGCTGGCTACTTCTCTCTGTAGTGATTACAATGAATTAAAGTAACACAGTTGTATCAATTGGATTTAACAGAGATGTTATATAAGGAAGTTCTGAGTGACACACACTTTTGAAGTGGTTTGTCTCTGGGAAGAGGACATGGTGCAGGACCGAGCCTTTGGCATGCACAGAGACTCCAGATATTCTGAGTTTATGAGCAGGGTGGTGTGGAGAAAATACAATGCTGGTACCGTTGGGATCCAGTCTTGCACACGGAATTGTATGGGAATTGGAAAGAGCACAGTTGTGATGCTGAGTAATGATTTTGTTGGCAGGAGCTGTGGTAAGAAAATAACTAATCTGCTTTTCAGCATTTAGTTGGTCTGAATAGTTAATAAGGAGAGTTTGGAAGTTGCAGGCTTCCCAGGAGGTAAAAATCTGTTTTACTAATGTGCCAGTTCTGCTACCAAACACATATCAGGCATGAAAATTCTTTATTACAAAGCTTTTTTTTTCCCCATCCAGGCTTTGTTTCAGTGCACTTGTGAGGATTAATCCACTGTTCCTTTCTGTAGGTCCAGTGTTACACCCTGCCAAGGTGTTGCTCAGGAGATGAGGAATGGTTGAGCAGTGAGTAGAATGATACAGTTAAAACTGAAATTCGAGTTTAAAATAGGAAGAAATAAATTAAAAACAAACAGGCGACCACAAAAAAAACCAAACAACCCCCCAAGATGTCACTTGTGCAAATATCCTTGAAGGGCATTTGTTGGCTGAATTATGTTTTGCTCTCTCAGTTTCCAGCAGTGCTGCTTCACAGGGCACAGATCTTGTGTACAAAGGGGAGGGAACATCTCTATTTTTATGTTTTTAAAATAAGTAATTTTCCAAGAACAATTCAGGTGAGGAAAATGAACAAACCCCAAAACCAAACAGAAAGTTAACACTGTTGCCACTGATGTTAAGTACTGTTTTTCCTTTGCTTGCTTCTCTGCTATTCCTGACTGATGATAGAGAAGAGTCTGCTAATAAAGACTGTGTATGCAATGCCCTGAAAGATGTGTCCGTGTTTGTGATGGCTCCTTGCCTCCCGAGCACCAGCTCTGGAATTGCTTTATTCCTAGTCGGTGGCAATAACCAAGTGAGTGAATGACGTCCGGTTCCACCAGAGGGAGCTTTGTCACAGCTCATCCAGGAAAGGTTTGGAGCTCAGAGCAAAGCTGTTCTGTCCAGTGCATGTAAACTGCTGGCCAACGAGGACATCCCGGGGCAGGAGCTGTACCTGGGGGTGGAGTTGTCCCCTTCAGTTGTTCTTACACACCCTCTGCTTTAGTCTCCTTCAGAAATGATCCAGTGGTGCTCATGGCAGGGATGTGGGGATGGAGGCCAGTATTTTCCACACGCATTTCAGAGAGTCCTGGCTGTAGGATGGATTGCTGGGTACACAGCATAAGGGATTTGTTTGCATGGACAACCCCAGTGATCCTGGAGATGCCCACAGATGCCTTTCGCCAGCCATGTTCCTACCCCAGATCTGATCCAAGTGTGTTGGTTCCAGCTCCATGAGCCAGGCTGACTCTGGCTCTGCTGGAGAAACTGGCTCTGCTGTGCAGTGCTGAGCCCTGAGACGGGGTGTGGAGGGAGAAGGGACACCGTGGAGGTGGACAGTGCACCCCAAAAGTGTGGTGTGGCACAGCTGTGCACCCCAACATCTGCACAGGGAGGGGACTGTGCTCTGCACCCCTGAGGAGGTGAGAGATGGGGGGGACTTTATCCTCACAGAGCCGGCACATGGGAAGGAGCTGGTGGTTTAACATCCCATAATCATGTTTGATGCTGGACAAAGTATTTAATGGCCCAGATTAAAGCATTGGGGTTGTTTAATTGGAAACGTCTTGCTGTTTTACACAGACCTAGTGCCCTATTTTTATGAGATTTAGAAATGTGCTGAGAAATTGTTTCCATGGAAGCAGAGATCACTAAAGAAATAATGCATATTTCCTACAGGATTATTCCCTTTGCAGCCTGCTGTTCTAAATAATTAACTCTTTTACTGCTATTACAGCTTAGCATGGACTAAAAGAAATAATACTTTTTTTAGCATCATAGAAGCATTACATATCTATATAAATATATATATATTTATATATAGGTATATAGACATTTCTAAAAACTCTTGTCTTTAAGCCTGTTCCTTCCTTATTTACAGAGGGGAAAATTCACCAGTAAAAAAAAGTCAGTGGAAAAGTGCACTTTTATTCTGAAAAATATTTCACATTTGACATTTGAATAATGTGAAATAAAATAAAGATATGAGGATACAGATGACCATTAAATGGATTTTGACTTAAAAGGAGGGATGTGAAAGTAAAAAAATAAAAGGCAGATTATTGTAATGTAGGTAAATGAATGACTTAAAAATAGGAAAAGAGTTACTAAACTTTTATAGAGTCATCAATATGACAAACTGACTTAACTTGATAATTTTAATAATTTTAGCTATAGATCTCAGTTATTTTCTAAGAAAGGTAACTACTGTTATTTTTATGTGAAGGAATATCCAGGTTGTGTCCTTCTCTGGTGGCAGAGGGGATTTTCATTGTATTTACACCTGGAGCTGTGATTTTACACCTATTCTGAGTTATAAACACTCTCTGGCAGGCAGGGTCCTTCCCAGGGTTCAGGCAGACCAGACCCAATCTGTGAGTCCAAGGAGCCCAGCAGGCCTGGACTGGAAGCGGAGCAGCCTCAGGTCACCAGTCCATAGGTGGAAGGAGCTGACTGCAGGTGGGTGTGAGAGCAGTGCACACACTGCTCTGCGGTCCCAAAATAATGATTTATAAAGAGGCTGACAGGGCCTGACAAATCAGATGAATGGGACTCAATGCAAACTGGAAAATGTGTTTCCACTGCTGCCAAAACACGTGGAAATGCTAATTCAGGCTTTGTAGATCATTAAGACACTTGGGAGTTGCTGGAGTGTGTTGTGAAAGGCATTACTCAAAGTTCGGGCTGAAAATTTCTTAGAAACGACAAACAACTTTGTAAGGGTAACACAGGCACGGAAATCAGCATCCCTACTGCTGCCTTGGGACGAGCATGTGCCAAAGGAAAGGGGGGAGAGAAGCTTTCTGTGCTGGAAGATGAGGCTGCGCTCCCATGCTCTCCAAGCAGGAGAGCAGCCATCAACCTCCTGAATTAGCAGCTGCTCCAGGCAGCAAACATCAAACTCCAAAAGGCTTTAGTTTATAAATCTGTGGAAGTAGAAAGTCCATAAGTGGTAAGAGTTTAGACAGTAGAAGGATAGGGATGCTCTGTGATGAAAGATGCAGGAAAAACCATGACAGAAGTGGAGCAGTAGGACTTCTTCCAACAGAAATGGGAGAACCTCCTTAGACATCCATTTATATGTAGTCCATACAAAGTCTAAAGAAGGAAAAGGGAAGCTGCTTGTCTTTAATCTATAACAGAAGGCCAAAGTAGGAGCTTGTCTTTTGTCTGTTCCCTGTCGTTTGCTCATGAAGGAGGAGGGAGAGGAGGCAGCTGGAGGCAGGTGCCACTCCCTGAGAAATAGGATTTGGAGTTTTTTTCCTTTCCACAGGAATTTATACAGTGACTGTTCTCGATTATTCTAGTTTAGTAAGAATGAATTTTTTGGTATAAGTGAATTTGGGAGTCAGTTACCTAAATATTTTAAATCAGTCCTGCTTTAGAAGGTAAGAAAACTGTTGCAGTTGTCTATTTAATATAACACAGAATGCTTTCACTCCTGCTGCAGGCCTGGCTCAGCTTGCTTAAATACTTAAATACTCTGTGGGGTTCTTAGTGAAATTCAAATAATTGCCTCGGCATATTTGGGTTATATTGCTGCTTTTCTGTTGGTAGACTTCTTTTAAAATGTGCTTTGCTTTTTGTTGTTGGTAGTTTTTTTAAAGTTTCTGGAACTTTTTAAATCAACAAATAATTTCATAAATATTACTAAATAACCAAATAAGGTTGTGATAAGACACTCCACAGCACCAGAGGCTTTTATACAGAGTCATTTGTTAGGAAACATCCCAGGTGTTGTGTTGCTTCCAAGAGCAGAGATCCCAAGTTCCCGAGTTTGTATTCAGGCAACACAGTGAGCTATTCCCACTTGTGCTCTTTAATAAGGGTCTGACACTCCTAGTCAGCAAAGATCCCTTGATCCCAATGCAAGTGTAAGTTAACCTTGGTGTTCTGCCCACATTCCAACTCTGGTAATAGCTTTCTGTCTACCTAAATTCCCTGGGCAATTTTAATGGGAGGAGATATTTTTCAGTGTTGTACAGCTTCACAGAAACACTACACAATGCTCCAGGACAAACTGAAAAAGAGTTTTATTCCAACAGAGCTGTGGGGGGAATTCAAGAGCAGGGAGTAATTACTGAAGTTGGAACTTGGCCAAGGCACTACAACCGGACCCCTTTGCTACCTACTCATCTGCTGCATTCCTCATTCGGGAGGTCATATCCATGAGGAAAGACTTTTTAAAGAAAATAATGCTGGTTGTTAAATGTTGATACACTGGCAGTTCCATTCTCTGTGCTAGGTATGGATGTCTAAATCCCATCCCTCCAACCTGCTTCTGTGCCCACTCCACCCGGACACTGCAGCTGGGTCTGTTCTTCTCTTCCCTGCATTAGTTTCAGTGTTACAAGCTTGTAATTCTAGTAATAATCAGGGAATGTGCTACTACAATTTAATGGCAAACCATTAAATATGCAGCCCTGGTTCTACTGAATGAATAGGACATCAAGGAAAAAGGGAAAGGTTTTGATTCTGTTCCTGCCTTTGTTTATAGATGCTGTTGGGTAATATTTTTTGGCTCAGCATAAACTCTTTCCATTTCCTCACTCTTGTTCACTTACCTGTTGAAAACTTCAAGCTTTGGATACACAGAATGGGGCTGCTGCATCCCATTTCCCCAAAATAAGCTTTTTATGCAATTGCAGCAGCAGTATTAATACATTCTCAAAGTTTTGGAGCAGGGTCTATAATTTATCAGGTGCCTTATGACAGCTGGTTGGTTGTCAGTCAGGAATATTCACTTGTACTCATAGAAGATGAAGTGAGAATTTGAGATCTAGGCTGAATTTTCCCATGTCACAAGAAAATTCAGAACTTTGCAAAACTTTGTGGAGTTAGGCTATCAGCCATTTATAAAACAGATTAAATTAAAAATCTAGAGCTGACCAGCCCTCAGTGCTGAAGAAATGTGGGATGAGAATAAAAAGTTTTGGAGTACATTGCTTAACCATTTCTTCTTTCATCAGCTCATGCAGAGCTGATCAAAGCCACGTGTTTGAGAGGCTGGAGCTGTCCTTCCATCAGGGATCATGGGATGTGCAGTCTTTTCTGGGGATCTATTGTGGCTTTCAACTGTCTTTTAAAATCACTGCATTTTTCTCTTTTCTGTCATGAGAAAAGAAATATTAATTTAAAAGTGAATGATGAGATTTTATATTAGAATATAAACATGTAGGCATAATTTTCATTAGGAGAGGCAAAAGTGACTGATGGTTGAAAACATCATAACAGGTAACAGTGTCTGCATCTTTTTTTGGGTCCTGCTTTTCTTTTTAGAAGCTGAGATTGAGAAGAGAGGCTGCTGCGGTGCCATTCATGTTTTTATTAATCATGAAAGGACTGCCCCATGCAAGCCATGTGTTGTGGTCAGGTATTTCCTTGCTAGTCCTGAGCCTGCAGCTCGGGGACTGCCAATGCACCAGGGTCATTTAATAGGAGGGGGAAGGTGTCTGCAATTAATCACAGAATGGGAAGATTAATTGCAGCACTGAGCTCAGAGAACCTCTCCTTGGACTAGATCATTCTCTTGACTAAGGCTTTGTAAAGCTACTGTAGGATCTGGACTTGAATAAACCAAACAGAGCCATTGCTCCTGCTGAGCACTCACTTCTCTCCTCCTTGTCATGCCACCTCCCACGTGACATCTCTTTTGCTCATGGTAGATGTTGTATTTTACTGTAACAGTCCATCGTGTTCAGCCTGTTTGAATTTCTGACCTCTCTTGATGTTCTCATTGAAAAGGAGACAACAAACCCCTTGGCAGCTTTCAATTTGAAAAATCAAGAAGTTTTTTATTATTCAAATGTAGAGATTTTTAACTCTGAAATTTCTAATTCTCCTTTTCCTGATTACATCATCATCACGTTCTAATTGCATGTTTTCTCACTGTATTTAAGTGATCAGGCTCTGTTCCCTTTGCAGTGGGTTCTGTGAGTGGTAGGAGAGGGTGCCCTTGTGCTATTACCTCCCTGAGTTATTTAATGGAGGATATGCTTGCTGTAACCATGCTAGAGCTGGCTGTTGCCTAAATTATGTTCTGCAATTCCAACTGCTGAAGGGCTGCCTTGAAAAGCTCAAATTAAACATAGGTAGAGAAAAAAAATCCTGCCTCTGTGCTACAGCTCTGAGGAGGCCAGTGCTGCCCTTCCTGTACAGCCCTGCTGCCCCTGTGCAACTGCACAAAGGGACTTCTGGCCTTTGCTTTTAACTCAAACTTCTTTAACCACTCCAGATCTGAGGACAGTGCCAGAAGCAATGCCAGCACTACAGCAAGGAAATGAAAGATAAGGATTAAAACCCTCTTAAACTCTGTTCTCTCTACTCCCCCTGGTAAATATATTCCTGCTTATATATCCAAATATGTATTCTCAAATTCTTTGACACAAAATCCCTGTGTTAGTTTGTGACTGGTGTGAGTTGACAACTGTCTGCTCCACACTCACATTTAAAAGCACACCCATTACTCTGGGTGGGAGCAGGGAAGCCCCAGGGGAAGCTTTGTGGCAGCAGATCCTCCACTACTCTCACCAGCCTGCAGCTTCCAGCTCTTATCAGTGGTAAAATAGCCAAACCTGCCACTGTTTTGGAACAACAAAGAATCCTCTTCTTGTCTCATCTTCCCCCGCTTAAAGATAATCTCTTAGGGATGTTTAGACTGGAATTATGGCCAGATTAGGTTGATGATGTGAATTGTAATGCCTTCCTTGTAAACACTCCCCAGGCCACTCTTGTTTTGATGGTAGAACACTGCATGTCTGTGATGTTACTGACAACTGGAGACAAGATCCCCCCAATAGTCCTTAAAATGTTTAAACCTTGGAGGATCACCTTAGAGAAAGCCAAACCAATTTCTATTGCTTGCATATCAAAGCCAGTTTTTCAGAGAACAGTTAAAGAAATCACACATTGGCCCTTCCTCCACTTCTCCTTAATTGGGCCAGTTAATGCCATTAAACAGATGTCTTCCTCGTGCAGGTATAATTATCCTTTCCAAAGCATTTTCACTGATTTGCCTCAGGCTTTTAAGCACTGCAATTACTCTCTCTCTTTTTTTTTTTAATGCTAAAATTAATCTTAAGCCATTACAATTGCTATCAAAGCAGGAAAAATCAACTTCCTGAACTTTTACAATTATTACTCAGAAGTTCTAACAAAATTCTTTGTACCAGGCCCTATCTAGTTAAAATTTCATCCATGCCAGGCAGCCTGACAAGATCCACATCTCATTTTCCCGATGATCCCTCGTTAGTCCCTGAGGGATAACACTCCAGCCCTACTCCAGTACCAATCAAGCACCACAGAACAATTAGGGAGAGTTTGTATTATCTAAATGAAAGACTGAATTATGAAAATGTGAATTGCTAATTTTCCACTGAGGTTTTTCCATATGGGCCCAACAGTACTGGTGGCACCCAACCAGTCTGGTCTGTTGAGTTTTCTTTTTCCCCTCCCATCTTCACGTGCTCTTTTGCTGTTGTTGGAAATAAGATACTTTATAACTGTCTCAATTCTGAAGGACTTAAGCAAAATCTCTCAAGTATAGACAGTTAATTCATGCTCCCTTTTTTTCTGTCACTCCAAATACATTTGGCATTTTAGACAGCAAGTAGAAGAATTCTGTGTTATTTACTATTTTCACTGATGTTTTATGCAGGTCAGCTGCTTTAAAAGCAGTTTACAAATTATTTGCAAAATAAGAAGCGAGGAGAATAGAAATTAAGTGACAGATTCTCAGAATTTCTGCCAGTTTTGCAACTATTAAGCATCCAAGCTTTTCCTGAGTCTTGCATTAAAATGTTGTGAAATAGCAAGCAAAGAAAAGAGCACTCCTTATTTACAACCTCTTCACACATGTTTTGAAATTAAATTTGGTACTGAATTTTATAACAAGTTTTAGACAGTTTTGCAGTAAACTTCTGGTTGGGTCAGTAACTTCATCTTCTGGATTTTAAATCTACTTTTTTTTTTTTTAACATCAACAACATAGATAACAAGCAGAAATAGTTATTACCTATTCAATTCCTAAATAGGATCTACTAACTGGTGTCTCAGTGGGGAAGGGGAGGGCAAGGGACAGTTAGTACACAATACAACAGAGGGATCAAGACAGGAACTTCTAGTGAACAATATTTGGAAAAATCTTGGCATTTATGAGAAGTGTTGCCTGGGTGAGGTCCTGAGATTTCAAATGGCCAAACAGGCTAAGTGGCATTAACTCCAATTTCTGACTTGCAGAAGATGATGGAGTGCATTGTTTCTGCCAAGGTTTTAGCTCAGTACCTGTGAGCAGAAATGAATTACACTGAAACTTGAATGACAAAGGCATCGATTAATACTTAGTTTTTCCTTGGATTTTTATAGAATTCAAATATTTTATTATTTTTTATTAAGTTTTTTCATTTGCAGTTGAAAACTATATATTTTAACTGACATCTTTTAATAGTGATGAACAAAACTGGTAGCAGGGAGCCTTCAGTACCAAATATCCCAATATACAGAAAAATAGCCTTTATTTTTAATTTAAACTGGTTTTCATTGCTTTTATTCGTTTGACATTTGCTTGTGTGAATAATTTCATATATAAACAAAATCTCATTCAGTTCAGCACAACTACTTACATAGAGAGATAAAGAAATACTAATGGACACAACTACACAGGAAAATTGTACCTGATAAAGTGTTAATTGTTTAACTTTATTTGGGAAATCACTTATGACCTCTAAGTAGGTCTTATGAAGTCTTAAGGATTGAAAACTTGCTTTCTGGTCTTCTTCAGAAATGGGAACCACAGTCTTTTTTTCTAGGAGACATGAGGTTTGTAAGTAAAATCTCAGCTACAAAACAAATCTTGACCTACTCTCTTTATCACAGAATACTCTATTTTATTTTCTCAGAGAAAAAAATGGTTATATGCATATAAATTAATTAAAATTCAAGAGAAGCCACGGTATAAATTACTAGTTAGAATGTTTTTTTTTCACAACATGTCTATTTAGAGAAAAACACTTTATAACTCTCCAATTGCTCAACTGTTTACCAGATTTTCATCTAAGATATATTTAGTGTTGGTATTTGATAGCGATATCCTATAATTACCTGTGCTGTATTTGCTGCTTGTCTCTTTGAAGTTTTAATTGTAAGCGATGCCACTTTAGAAAAGCAGAATGCAGAACACAACTTTTATCCCCGTCCTTGCACACTCAAAACATCCATTGTGTTTAACAGGAATTCAGGCGAGTCAGGAATGCTGAAATAGCTCCTGTACCCTCTATGCAGACAGTTAAACAATGCAGTTGGAGAAACAAGTAATAGGAAAAAGAAATATGCCAAGAAATAATACAAAACAATATGTTTTCAGCAGACTTGATATAAAGTGGAGACTCTAAGGTGGAAAAATGACATTTGCTCCACAGAAGAAATGGTAGAAAGCCCTAATGCTTGGCTTAGGAACTGAGAATTCTAGATAAAGAAGACGAGAAGAGCAAGCAAATACAAAGTCTAATAAGGATATTAATGAGGGTTTCCATCTCAGTTCTTTATTTCTTGGCAGCTGGGACACACACAAGCCTTAGGTTAGACAAAGTGCTTTTCTGCTGCTACAGCTCAGCTGGTTTTGTGATTGGAGCTGACAGTCACAAAAATTAATGCCATGTTATTGACTGACAGATTTTACTCTTCATGCCTCTTATGACAATGGAGGCTGGGCAGATCTTAAAGGAATTGTGTCTGATGAAAACAGATTTTCTACTTACCATTAAATGAAGTTTCTTTCTGGCCTGGACTCCAGTATCTGTTCACTACATATTTTCATAGGCAGTGGACGTCAATGCTTAAGAACTGTCACAGCAGAGGGCTCTGCAGATAAAAAGAGATGGACTAATGAGTCTCAACAAACACTGAACAATACTTCACTGTGTTCACAGAGAGGACGTGACTGCGAAAGGCAAAGATTTGTGTTTCTTTACTTTTCACAACCACAGGGCCTCTGTTTACATGCAAAGCACTAAGACTTGTGTGTAGCCTGGGCTGCCCTGCCATTACCACACATCCCAGTACATCACTCTGGCTCCGGATGCTTAACCAGTCAGGACTCAGGGCTGTGAGGTTGTTGCCCTCAAAATCAGATTTTTAACCAGGTGTGCAACAAGCCAGTAATGACACACTAGAGAGAGATGCTGATTATTTATCTCAGAGCTGCACAAGGCTGGGTGCTCAGTGGTGTTCCATGAATCAAGCACGGCCACTGGACTTTTCACACTATTATTTACAGGCAGAAATTCGGAGTTACTAACTTTCCAAGCACAGCCCCTGTATTATGATTGATTAGGAATTTCCATACAAGTAACATAACCCCAGTGAACTTCTACACATGCTCAGGAGAAGGGTCTTGACCTGGGCAGGGGTCTTTTTGACCTGTAGGCGTGATTTTTAGTACTATAATGAACACAGTTCAGCTGTAGGATACATGGACTGTATTTTGCCAAGTTAGCAATGTGTGCATAGATATACATCATCATCTTTGATTTACTGCATCCTTGTAGCTTGTTAGTTCCTGGATGTCCTTAAGTAGGGGATGCTGGCTGCTGCCTGTTCCGCTGATTTAGGCTCGAAAGCACACGAAGATCCTACATCAAAGAACACCCTGGTTTATGGCAATTTTGATATACTAAATTTTTTGCAACAAGGTGACACCGCAACACCGCGGGCAAAGCCAGGGTTAAGGCGCTCAGCAGAGCGGGCTCCGCGCCTCACGAGGGGCAGCCCCGCTGCCCGCGCCACACAAAATGGCGGCCGCCCCTGAAGGAAGCGACGGCGGCGGTGGCCGCCCCGCCTGAAGGAAGGGACGCGGAGCCCGTCTCGCTTCCCGCCCTCCGCCCCGGTATCGACATCGTCTCCGCCGTCCGCCCCCTCCTCCTCCGCCTCCCGCGGTGGTGAGTAGGGGAGCCCGGTGCAGGAGGTCCTTCCCGGTCCCCGGGACGTGCAGCTAAGAGCCGGCCAAAGCTCCCCCCACCCCCGCCCGCCATTATGCCGGCGGGCGCCTCCGAGTGACGCGTCTCCTTCTCCCCCCTCCCCCCTCCCGTCAGCCCATGTCACGATAGTCGCGGTTCCCCTCGGGGGGTCAGGGAGGGAGCGAAAGCCGCGGTCGGAGCCAGGGGGTGAAAATGAGCGAGGGGGTGAAAATGAGCGAGGGGGTGGCTGGGGCTTGTCCGTCCCAAGGCATTCCCATGTCCACGCCCGTGAGTCAGAGGATCCCGGCTGGCAGACACTTGGTTTCGCTGCGTTGAGTCATTTTGTTACTAGGCCCGGAGCAAAGTAGCAGTAACATGCTCATAGATCCTGGTTTTCCTCGTAGATAGGAATGACACCCGAGGGCAGCAGGGAAAGGTGACACGTGTCTTCCCCAAGGGACACCTGCAGTCACTCTGGACTGGTGGTACTAAAAGTGAAAGGGAAAAATAAATCACACCTTGTTTTATTTTCAGTGATACTCGACAGGGATTTCCTTCACTGTCGGAAGGATTGGTATCTTGAAACTACAACCGGGTGCACTTGTGACTGTGACCGTTTTGTGCAATGCAGCTGTTGGCAAACAAATACACAGTATCTGTTCAGGAGCAATGAAATAATGATTCAGAGTTTCGTGTTCGGGGGGATTTCTTAATGCCTCTCTGCTACTTCTTTTCTTTGTTTCAGGGTAACCAGCCAAAGAAGTTATGAATATCATCTGTGGTCTAAAGCTGCCGGGCAGGAACTGTGTTTTCTCTCATTTGGCATCTTTGAGCAAGCAGGGGAAGTGCAATAACCTCTCTGGGTCTTACACAGGATGGTGCCGAACTCACATCAACAGATTTAGATGCCAAAGGCTGGATTTGAGTGATAATACTAGAAACTATTTTTTGACTGGAAAACCTGTCTGCCACAGAAACTTCATCAGTAAAGGACTGAAGTGTGTTTTGAATGTCCCAAATACAGGAGTATACAGGAATGCACACCACAGTTTGGGAAGGTTTTGTGTTCAGTCTGCTCGGCCACAGGGGGAGAAGACCACATCCCTCCAGATCTGTTCCGTAGGGGAACTCCCACATCACTGTTCTGCTTGGAACGTTCACATCATCAGGTCTCTTCGCACATCACCAGCATTTCAGGCTGCGCCAGTTCCCCTTTTCTGGATCTTTGTTAAGCCAGCTCAGAAATTACTTGCCATCATTCTTGGCAGGTAAAATACTGTTACTTCGCTCTCAGTGCAAGACCCCATCATGCAAAGTGTGAGTTTGTGGAGGATGGCAGGTGTTTGTGGTATTGTTTGACAGTTTGCTCAACAAGAAGGGTTTTTTCCATTTTCAGAGGTGTTGGGTGTATCTTTTGCTCTTTTCCTTCTCATTTACATGTGGTAGAGGAAGGTGAACCAACACACTGAGGGACATTCCTTCTTCTCATGTTCGAGGGAAGAAATGGAGTGGAGTAGAAGCCAATTATAATATAACCTTCCATAAGCTGCTACATGAGATGAAACTATAACAGAGAATACAGCAAGAGCAGACACTAACAAATTTCTTTTTAACTATGTCCTAAGTTAACACTATTTGTATCTTACAGGAGCATAAGAAATTGGTGGAAGGCACTTCCTCCTAATAAACGGGAACTGTTTAAAGAAAGTGCAAGAAAAAATAAATGGAAGATCCTCCTGGGTGTCAGTAGCTTAGGAGTTGTATTTATCATGTTTTATTTTACTCACTTGGAGGAGACACCCATCACTGGGCGTGCTCGACTGCTGGTGTTTGGGAAGGAGCATTTTAGGGAACTGTCACAGATGGAATATGAAATGGTAAGATTTTAAAGAAAAAAAATTAAAATACTCTAGAATTGTGAATGCTTTTTTTTTTTAGGTGATGAGATAACCCTATTAACGAGATGGGCAAACAAACCTTGTGGTGTCCTTGATAAGTCTTGAAGTTCACACTCAAAACCCTGCTGAGCCCCCCCATCTGTTATCTTCTCCTCTTGTTCCCATCCTTTTTAAGAGTTCCCTTTCCATCAGGGGCACATTAAAGCCACATGACATGCATGTAACAAACATTTCTGTGTTACTGTGATTGAAGAGAATTTCATAAAAGAAATATGGAAATCTGGTAAGATCTTAGAAGAACAGGTGTATGCTGAGATTTGTCTCAGTTTCTGAGCTGATTGCAGCATTCTTTGGCACTTGTCCTCTCTTTGAAGCTGTCACTGTAAGGTAGTACTCTCTACCTGCATTCTGTTCTTTTTTTTTGTGTGTGTATTTGATTAGCTTGTTATTCTTTAATTGGCTTCTTTTAAACTGCCTATTTAAACTGTTCAGAACTAGTTTCTTTATCTTTGAGTTCTGTGTCTTCTTGTTCTAAAGTCAGTGAAACTTGATGAACCATATCCAAATGTCACTATAGTCCTTTCTCTCAGATATGAGTTAAGAACAGAACAAGTACAAGGATATTTTCAAAATACATAATTTGTATAAATTTACCCACTTTACAAATTACAACAGGAATATTCAGATAGACAAAAATTACAAATTCAGATGGAAATTCAAGAGGGGATACCAAGGTTCTCTGAATTGTGATGCCAAGCTTAACTGTGTTTAGGAAAATGCCAGATACAGGAGGCTGTAGCACCAAGTTTATACTATCTTATTTTTGATCTGTGATCAGTTTACTGTCTTTTAAGTTTATTATTCTTTTGCTTGTGGGTCTCAAAGCCTGAACTCTAAGGTATTGACGTTGGCTATATGAAAGAAAAATGTATTGAAACTTAGTTTTACCTAAGTTGTGTGTAGCCACTAAATTAGTTTACTAATTAATCATTCACCGTGTGTTTGTTCTGCATGGCAATCAGTGAATTTTTTTTTTTCAGTGGATGGAGGAGTTCAAAAATCAAATGTTGCCTGAGACAGATGCAAGATACCAGGTTGTGGAGAGAGTTGTGGGGCATTTGTCTGAAAGCAATAAGGATATCCCAGAGGTCTCAGCACTCAAGTGGGTGATTCACGTGGTGGATGAACCAGGTGTAAATGCTTTTGTGCTTCCAGTAAGTTGAACACAATGCAAACATTATTAATAATATTGAAACAGCATTTTCTTTATGTGTCTTCCACTTAATTTTTATTCATTTTTTGTTTACAGAATGGGCAAGTGTTTGTTTTCACTGGATTGCTCGATGCAGTTTCTGATATTCATCAGCTGTCATTTATTTTGGGACATGAAATAGCTCATGCTGTGCTGGAACATGCAGTAAGTTTTTAAAGAAAGTTGTCTGATGTTCTTAAATTATTCTAATTACTTTAATTTTGGTCATATTATACCAACCAAGTTTTCAATGTGACTCTAATTATGAAAAATGGAATTTGAAATGTCTGGTCCACTACAGTAGATCCTTATTATTGGTGTAATACTTAATAACTGTCAGAAGGCCTCTACTGGTCCCTGTTAGCACAAAGTCTGCCAGTGTTTTTTTCACAGCTGCACAGATGGATTATGGTTCACTTTTAACAGTCATGTAGAACTTGGTCTGCAAATGCCTCTCTTATAGCTCAGATATAAAGAACTGGAGGTACTCAGCAACTCAGTTTGTTACTCCTATACTTGTTAATACCTACAGAAGTGGATATACTTAAAAAATTATCCTAAAACCCGTAGTGTTTTTATTATAGTTACACACTGTTTTAGAATGTCAAACTCTGGAATGCCTGGAGCTTGATTCTTGTGATTTTGGGTGAGCAGCAGTTCACAATGTTGTTTCTTGGGCTCAGCTGAGCCAAACTACCCCTTTGAACTTCTAAAAAATGCATTTCTCATAGTAAAAAGAACTTACCTTGTTTATGTGGAACCTGTGTCACCCAGCTGGCATAAAGAGAACTATTGCATGATCCCACTTGTAAGTGCTCAGATCAATTTGTTCCATGTCAAATAGAGCTCTGGAAAACAGGATAATTTCAATTTATTTCTTCAGGATCTCTCAGATTCTGAAATGAAAGCAGTGCAGCAGAAAACAAAAGATAAATACATTATGTCTACTGTCCCCTATTCCCATTAGGGATCCTGTCTCAGTGATGTCTGTCTCTTCTCAAATTAATGTAAAGAACAGTCTTTGAGGTCTCTTTATAGATTTTTCATTCCAACTGGGGTGTTTCTTGGCCTTTTTACTGAAGAACTCTCTGTATGTCATCCCCATCTTACCTCCAGCTTTGTGTCTCTCAAATAGGGTGATGGCCAGATGTGTTTGCTCCAGCTGTATTCCACAGCTGCTGTGGATTCCAGACTGAAAGTACCTTGTATCCAACTGGATTTTTTTATTTGTTCAAGCAGGGAATCTTGTGCCCTGTTCCCGTGGCTGCACAGAAAAAAAACCAAATCTGTGATTTTTAAAGTGTTTCCAAATTCTGTTGTGTTCTAAGGAAATGTCAGACTGTAAGGAATGAAAATGGGACAATCTCTGTTTGCAGGCAGAGAAAGCCAGCCTGGTGCACATCCTGGATTTTCTCTCCCTCATCTTTCTCACCATGATTTGGGCCATCTGTCCTCGGGATAGTTTGGCAGTTGTTGGCCAGTGGATTCAGAGCAAGTTGCAGGAGGTAAGATTGGCATTTTGTGTTATCCTCCCTGACTTCCTCGGAAAGACATTTTTAATCTTAATTTTAATGATAATTTTGAATCTTTCACTACAGTAAATAGTATGTTTGGGAAAAAGGTAAGAGGAGAAATATAAGCAAAAATTAATATTTGAGCATGTTATTGAAGGAAATACATTTTTAAAAATCTGATTCTGCTGTGGTTGGTGCTGACTTTCATTTGTCATCATGAAGAACTTTAGATCTCCCTACATGACTTGGTTGAGCTGCACAGGCTCCAGGTACCAGCTGCCAATTAAGGCAGATGATTATCTTTTAGAAATGTAACTTGCCCTTTAAAGTTATGTATGTTAAAATGCCATGTTTTTCTTTTACCTAGTTGTTAAATTGTTCCTAAAGCAAATAAAATATATGGAATTGT